ATTTTGAGCTTTTTCTTTGATTATATGTAATTGAAGATGCTAAATTTTCTTTTATTAACTGTAATGTATCAAAAACAAAAAAAAAAGACTCATGCTGGAAAAGAAAAAGAGAAGTCCCTCAGCGAGATGGGATTGCTGCAGTGACTGGAGCAGTGGGCTTGAGCATAGATGGTCTGGATGCGCACGGTAGGGCAGGGTTTGGATCTCTTGTTCATAGGCTCACTATGAGTTGTAGTCAATTCGGTGGCACCTAACAACAACAGCTTATCAAATTTAAGTTTCTTTTTAAGCTAGCCAGGGCAAGCAAGAGAGTAGGCCCATTTGTATCGATCTAGCTTGATTTATTTTTATCTGTGTATCTACACACACACACACACACACACACACACACACACACACACACGGAGTCATCTTTTCTTCCTTGACTCCTTTGCTTTTGTTCTAAAATACGAAAAGTGAGGGAAAACCAGAATTGTTCATGGTAACTAAATTTGTACACATGATACTGCCCGAGAGAGGCTAGACTAAAGCATCAGTTTTTGGTTATAGTAAGAAATCAGGTGAAGGAGTGCTGATGTTTTCTATGATTCTCAACATCCTTTGAGATACACATGCTCATTTTAGAAAGCAGACCGTAGAGTTTGGCCCCGAGTGATAGCAGGCTCTTTGTACATATTCAGATTTTATCACTCTCAAGTCCTTGTTCCATCCGCCTGCTTTTGCTCAGCCACATGACTGTTAACAAAACCTGATTTGGGTTTTGTCCAAGGGCACTTAGTCATGAAATACCCAAATCACTTTGTAAGGGATGTGACAATTTTAAGATGTTCTCTGAAGACAGTATTATTATAGTGAGGCTTCAAGAGTGTGATCCAGTATAAATAACTTGTAACATTATGAAGTACTGATTTGTCATCAGACAAAACATTTTTGGTTCAGTTTTGGTTTTCTGTCTATAGTGAAGACCATGGCTCGATGAATAGGAGTATAGAGAAGAGGTTCTTTCATTACTCAGCTTGAAAATATCCCCTTCCCCTCCTTTAACTTCCAAAGAATTATCTTGGCTTGCTGGTTAATTTCACAGGGATGTTGTATTTGGCTTAAAACAAAGTTCTGAATAACTGCATTTTGCTTGCCCATATAAATACAGTTCTGATTTAAAATTGTGGCTTGGATAAGTCTTTCTAGAAGGAGAAATGTTCAGAATCTCTGATGAAGGAGAGGAGAGGAGAGTACCAGGAGAGAAAGAGCAATCTGTAGGGAAATCTAAAGTGAGTGAATGGCCTGCTTTTCCAACTTTTCTTGGTCAATACAGCTTTCCGGGTTCTTTTCCCAGATTCTGAGGGTTTTTCCTCCTAGATTTCAATATTAGAACACATTCATAATACTACTTGAATTTGAAATAGCCCTTTGCATGCCTGCATTCCATTACCTTAGAGACTCCCTGTATATTTTGCTAGTTATTGTTGTTAGATATCGTTGAGTATGACTCATAGTGACCCTACGAACAACAGATGTGAACACTGTCTTATCCTGTGCCAGCCTCCCACACACGCAGGCCATTGCAGCAGTCACTGTGTCAGTCCACCTGATTGGAGGTCTTCCTCTTCTTCCCTGTCCCCCTGAAGCATGAAGTCCCACCTCTAAGGAATAACCTCACCTAACAAAATGACCAAAGTATGTGAGACAAAGCTTAATCATCTTTGCTTCCAAGAAGCATTCTGGCCGCATCTTCTCCAAGACATATCTATGTGTCCTTGTGGCAGTTCGTGGAATCTTTAGTACTCTCTCCAACACTGCAGATCAAAGGCATCAGTGGTCCTTCTGGCATCCTTAGTCGTTGTCCAGCTCTCGGCAGCTTAGCCAGTGCCTATGACTATGGCCGGAATCAGGTGCATCTTAATCCTCGCATTGATATCCTTGCTCCTCAGAAATCTGGAGAGGTCCCTGACTACAGACACCTGACCTTGTCCTCTTAGAGAAGTGTGATCATGTAACACTTTTTCTTTTGCAAGTGCATTTTTTTCCTACACAGCATAATGTCCTCAAGATTCATTCATATCAAAGACTTTCTGTTTTAAAGTAAAGGGATTTCCATCTCTTCCTCCACCCCTTGCCCTGTTTCCCGTGTTACCGATACCTTGCATTTGTGTGGTACATGCACTGTATTGATAGCTGGGTATTTGTGTTTCATTAACCAAAGTCCAGAGCTTACATGAGGGTTCCCGCTCTGTGCTGTACATTTCTTGGGGTCTTGATAAGTGGAAAGCAGCTATCTTTCAGAGACTGTGTTCTCTTCCATTTCTCCTGGAAGCAGATGTGCTCCACATCCTCCCTTGTTGACTTTGATGGTGCCCCCTCTTGAGGGGACTCTGTAGTGTTTTGATTGATTTTTCATAGAGCAGAGTTAAATGTTTCTGATTTTACTAGAATAATTTTTATCAGAATCAAGTCTCTGAATTTTACTTTGAAGGTTTTGATTTGTCTTCAGTTCTGTCTTTAATTTTTAAACAAGAGACAGTATGTATTGTGGTTATATCTGGTTGTGCTCTAAAGCACACAGCCAGCCCTGCCTGTACTTCGGGACTTTGGAGAATTTTAATGGAAAGAAAATGCAAGGTACATGTGTAATTAGAAAAAAAAAAAATTTAGTTGCTGCATTGAAAAAGTAAAAGATACAAATGAAATGGATTTTTAACCTCTTCTATATCGTCTGTTAGATCCATAATATTGTTTTGTAATGTAATCCATTAAAAATTACTACTATTCGAGGAAGGTGGGTTTGTTGTGTGGTAGTAGTGAAGGAGGGCAGGTGAGCAGGGAAGAGAAATCTCAGGAGAAGTGCAGGTGGGGTGGAAGGTGTGTGGCTCGTGTCTCTGCTGCTTTTCTCTGGCACTGAAACGGAGACGAGGGAGGCTGGGAAGAGAGACTGTGCCCATCTTGCTCCGCCTCCAGTTTTAGCTTGTTAGTGGTTAGGTTAGAGCAGAGACAAGGCATGAACTTAGTCCACACAGCTCTGATTCTGAATAGTTGAGAATTATGTTGCCCTCAGAAAGCAATGCTAGGGAAACTCAGATAGCTCCTAGTCAGATACATATATGCACATTAAGAATCTCAATTTCTTTTTCTCATTCAGACTTTAATAATATGCTAGTTCTTAAGTTTGAGGGGTTTTTTTTGTTTTTGTTTTTAATAATCTGAGTTTAAATTCCTTTGTTGAAAGAGAGGAAAGGAAAAAATTACAGTAGATTTTTCCAAACACAAACTTTGCTTTTATAATATGGCTGTGACAACCATCTCTATTTTGCTCAAAGTCAGCCTACTCTGTGAATTGTATTTTGCAGCTTAGATTCTTAAAAGCCACAAGTTGTTGCAAGCAGTTCACTGGATGCATGATGCAAAACACAGGGCAGGACAGAGACAGACTGAAAGCAGATGGGCCTCACCTAATTCCTGAGGGTCAGAGAATATTTCCTTGAGGAATGGAGAGTTGAAGGGTGAATAGGAGGTAGTGAGGCAGTGCTGACAGAAAAGGTGAAAAAGCTTTCCAGGCAAAGGAAAAGAACTTGCAGAAGTCGCAATTGGATCCAGAAAGAAACCATACAATTTATGGGCAATTGCTTTTCAGTGATGGTGCCAGGACAATTCCGTGGGGACGAAATAGGCTCCCCATCTCCTCAACAAATGAAGCGGAAACCACTAGGTAGCCATATGCAAAGAAGGCAGTTGGATCCTGTTTCACACTGTGCACAAAATTAACTCCAAATGGATCAGAGACCCGAATTTCAGGGTTGAAGCTGTAGACCTCATAGCAAGACACGTAGGAATGAATCTTTATGACCTTGAGTTCGGCAGTGGCTTCTCGACTATGACTCCCAAAAGTACAAGCACCAAAAGAAGATGTCGTTAAAATGAAATGCTTTGTGTGCTTTAGGAGTACCGTTGGAGGGTGGGGGAAGACAAACCAACTCATGGAATGGGAGCAAAAGTTTACAGCTCCTGTATTCGTTAAGGAAACTTGGATTAGTTGCTAGGAAAATGTAGACTAAAAAGAAGAACAGATTCACGGGAAGAAGTCACGGCGTCGCCTTTGGATAGGCGTCTATTGATTGGAAATTGGACCTGTGCTGGAAGAGCACGTTCTTCATTTCTTTGAGGCCAAAGACTTGTAGCCTAGCTTGATGTAAGTACTTTGTGTCCGTTTCTGAGGTAACAGGTGTAAACTCTGTGGGTTTGGCTGACCGTTCTCGCTCCAAGAATCTTGGCACCGTGGCATGGTCGAGTTCACGAACAAGGAGGGTGGTAATCCTTGGCCTGCAGTTCTGTTCAAATTCCAGCTGTCCTACCAAAGTGTGACAAAGCTTACTTCTTTTTTCAAATAATAAGAATTTTTAAATCATTCAGACGTCCATCAGTCACAAGCTTGAGTAAACATTAATTTGATTGGTTTATTAGAGCCAGTGAGGTCAGTTGTGTTTTGAAATTTCCTTACCGCAGAATACTTTACCCTAGCCGTATCCTGAGTCATGGAATTAGTGGTGTTTGAAATTCTTCTTAGCTCACTAGAAACACTGTACAGCCAGGAAAATGACAAGGGAGAATCAAAAATTGTTCTTGCCTGTTAACAGTCTTGGCAGTGGTGAAAATCCCTTCTTTGCCATCACATCTCTGAAGAGAGTGAAAACATTTTTTTTAGTTTAAAAAATCTCCGTTAAGGAATTGATTACTTTATTCATATTCTGTTGCCTAAGTCATTTCTGTACCAGAGAGCTTAATCCCTTGGCCAAAGAAGTGATGGAAATATAATTGAATGTTCTCAGTCAGGATGAGTGCATGTGTTCCAGCTTCAGAGTCAAGATATGAGGAATCTCAGTATGCTTTCCTCTATACTTTTTAAAATCGCTTGATGACTAAGAGTCTTGTTTGTGTGTGGTACTGGCAGGCTGATGAGTAAAAAGCTTTATGAAGTTTTATTCTTTTTTTTTTTTTTAAACAAACAGATGACCTCCAAAAAGAAATGCTGGACGATATGCAGAAGAAGCTGATGGATTTAGTGAACAGCACGGAAGGGAAAGTGGATAAGTACGCCTTCCCTTGTTCCTTTTCATCTGAGCAGTGGGCTTGAGGGTGTCAGATTGTGAAGACGTCACAGGATAGGACAGGGTTAATAATAATAATGGGATAATAATGAGTCATAGGTAGTTTGTATAATGTGAAACTGTAGGTGCTTTTAAAAATGTATTATTTGAGTGAAAGTTTATAAAACTTTACAAAATTGGTTTTCTATCCCACCATTCATGCGCATTTTGTTTTATATTTCCCTGCTTTGCCTCTTCTCATTTCCATTAAACCTCCATCCACACCTCCTGCCCTCTAGGCTTTGGCCTGGAGCAAAGTTCCTCTTTTTTTAGGGCATTTATTTATGGTTAGTCCTCCAGGAGTAAGTACCTCCCTGGTGTTACTGGTTAGACTATAGGCCTGTCTGCGGTTTGGCTAAAGTTCAGCCACAGAGATGTGTTTTACTCCTGAGTTGAAGGTGGGTTTTTAAGAAATGAAGTAGTTAACAGAATAACTTACCCCCTCATTTTGATTTTTAAATACGTTTCCCCCACCTCATTTTTCTTAGAAATCTATGGACGATTTAAACCATCACCCCAGTATGAAGAACTTTAAAAAATAATAAAGCTTATTCTTAACTTTTTAAAAAAACAAAACAAAACTTCTTTTATGGTCTGTAAATAAACATATCTTGCTCATGTACTAAATCTGAAACCCACCTGTGTAAGTATTAAAAACACATCCTTTAATATTGAAAAAAGATAGATATTAGCAACTTTTAATAATGTGAATGAAGAAATCTAAACATGACGGTGAAGTACAGGGACCATCAGCATTGCTTAAAGTGGGGAGGGGAGAAATCTAATGACTCTCCTCAAAGGGCAAAACAACTCAAGCAGTTCCGTGCGGGTTACTAAGAAGGCACCATCCCAGTTGATTAATCAGTGAGTGGTTTATCAGGGATGTTTTCAAAGGTATGCTTCCTGAGTTGGCGGGAATACTGAGAATTGGCAAAGTTTAAGCAGAAGAATAAAAACCCCAACAAACTGTCATGGAACCTGTTCTCACCTTTGAGAAAAGGTGCTTAGTGCTTGCCTTCTGTGTAGTCTGTGGCAGATGAACCTTGAGTGGATCTGAGCTGATCTGAGCTGTCTCTGCCTTCATTTTCTTAGAGTCCTGATGAGAAACCTCTTCATTGGACATTTTCATACGCCGAAAAATAAGCGTCCTGAAGTGTTACGGTTAATGGGCAGCATCCTGGGCATCAGGAGGGAGGACATGGAGCAGGTAACTGAACAGTGGAAGCCGTTCCCGGTGCATCCGAAACTGCTCTAGTGCTTTCAGGATACGTGATTATATTATGCAGTTGTGTAGAATTTCCTAGTAATGTGGAAGTGCAGTCATTTCATGCTATAGAAGTGGATTTGTTCTGTTGGAGTTGTTCTGTTTGGACTTTCATACACATTTTACTAGTCATCCTTCTATTTTTACAATAGACGGGGTTTTGTGGTACTTGTCCTTATGAGATTGAGTTAGCTCAGTCAACGTAATGCTCTCTAGTCTGTCCCATATTACTTAGAGACTGCTTTTCATTATCAGGATGTTTAAAAGCTGAGACATGACAGCCCCCAGAGCTCCAGATATGGCACTGTCTTCATAGCCTTTATCATGTAACATCTACTCAGAATTGGACTCATAAAGAATGGTTTGCTCCTTTTTGAAATCCTAGAAAAGTGCTTATTTTTTAATATTGCTCACCGTTTTCTGTTTTAAAATAATCTTTCAGTTGCTTAATGAAGATCAAGGGGGTGTTACCAGGTGGATGACTGGGTGGCTCGGAGGAGGATCAAAGAGTGTCCCCAACACGCCGCTGAGACCAAGCCAGCACTCTGTCTTCAACAGCGTAAGGGCCGCCAGGTTCTTCTTTAATGGTCTTCTGTAGTGCCTTTGTTCTGCATGCTCAGATCCAGAGAGGTGACTCACTTAAGGAGAAGCAGCCAGTTTTAATGGGGCGGGGGAAGTTATTTTTCAGTGTCCAGTTCTTTTTTATTATATATGTTTGTTTTAATTATAGTAAGAATATAGATAACAAACCATTTGCCATTTCAACACCGTTCACCGGTTTAGTAACATTAAATATTTCTTCATGCTAACTATCACTGTCAGCTGTTTTCCAAGTTTTCTGATCACAGTTTTAGCAATTTTATTGCATGTAGATAGAATTTAAACTACTTGGTAGTACTTTTATTTTTCAGAATATTAACTATTCTTTCCTTTGTGCTTGATCAAGCAGCTATAGGCACACAATTATTTGTCTGTCTTGCTACTAAATTATGAGGGTCTTCAAAACGGACCCTTCTTTTTTAAACCAACACTTTTCTTTTATTCATCGATTCACCTGCGTAGTGGCTGTACTGCCGTGAGTACTTCCTGAGCACCTGCTGAGTCTCAAACCGGCGAATCAGCAGCAGACCAGCCGCCCAAGGTGCCTGCGCTCCACAAACCACACTCCGGTCGGAGCAGGCGACTGAGGCGTTTGTGCACACAGTGCCGTGTGGATACTAGAATTTAGAGGAATGGTGGCTTAGTGCATTATGTCTTGGGCTGCTCATGGAAAGCTAAGCAGTTCAGATCTCCCGGATGCTCTGAAGAGAGGATGGCGGGCCCCTCTCCTGAAGATGTGCGGCCCCAGAGAGTGCATGGAAGGTCACTAGGTCAGACTGGACTTGAAGGCAGTGAGTTTGAAAGAGCTAGAATGTGAATTGTGAATATGAAGTTATTTTTCTTTCTTTCTTTTCCTCCTTTTTTAATTGAGAAGAAACGGAAGATTTGTACCTTAACCCAGAACTCAGTAGTTCATGATAAAACCTAGAACTGCTTTACTTGTATCACATAAAATTGAATGTAAAGAGACTTCCTACATTATCTTTCTTTAGTGGAGCAGTATTTCTGGTGAGGTCTTACGGGTATTAATCGAGTCTTTTGTAGAAGAATATACTTTTTTCCTGTGTGGTTTTTCAAGTCTGTGTAGAAGAGTTAAAAATGTCTTAGAATTTGATGTCTTAATTGCCATTGATGGCAAGAAATAGAAGATTTATCATCAGTTGACTAATGGAGTATTATCATCAAAGAATATCAACTGAATTATTACTTTTTAAAAATTGATCCCTAAAAAATAGCTAAAATGAATAAAATTTCAGTTACTCATAATTCTTACCTTAAAAAGAATCAGATAACTACTTTTTAAATGTTTAGTTAGAATAACTAGTACCTTTTATTAGTGCTGTTGTTGTGGACTGTTGAGTTGGACCTGACCCATAGCCGACCCTCTGGTGGGTTTTCAGAGGCAGTTAATCACACGGGAGGATATTGCCCCTCCTCCCGTGGAGCAAGGGCTGGTGTTGTATTATTATTAACATTATTAATGTTAGTGCAAATGAAGAGAATTATATTGTCTAGCCTAAGAATAACTAAAATGCCTTTCTCCCCCCACCCCAGTCTTTTTCAGAACTTTTTGTTAAGTTTCTAGAAACAGAATCTCATCCTTCTATTCCACCACCAAAGCTTTCTGTTCAGGATATGAAGCCTCTGGATTCACCGGGAAGGAGAACGCTAGCTACAAACGAACCAGAAAGTGTGAGAGGTAAAGCCAAAGACATGTTTGGTCTATGATTTTTAAAACAGTGCAGTCTACATATTAACCAAATTTTCAGTGTTGTTGAAAATATATAAGGACTTTTCTCTCCGAATTACTCAAATTCATCCGGTTGACTATTTATATTCTTGTCACCCTGTCATCATTTAATTGGATTTGATGAGTTCAAACAGTATGACATATTTTCCTTTTGTGTTTCAGAATGAAGTGTTTAATTTTTTTATACTTAGACAGAAACGCTATACATGTACTGAGACAGATAATATAACCAGGTGACATTAGGTACAAGCCATGTCTATTGTTCCAACTTAAATACAGATACAGTTTCATGTTAGATTTGGAAACAGATCTTGTTTGTTGCCCAGGACGATATCTATGTTGGAATACCAATTGACATATTTCAGCAGACAGTTGCTGCCCTGCATGTGCTCACCAAGTTGTGCCAAGAAATCTGGAGGACAACTACTTGGCCAACTTAGTGGAAGAGATCCATATTTATTCCATGTATAAAAAAAGGTGGCCTGACAGAGTATGGAAATTATCAAACAACATCACTCATATCACACACTAGCAAAATCCTGCTGAAGATTATCCAGATTTGAACAGTATATTGGCAAAAAACTACCAGAAATACAAGCTGGGTTTAGAAGAGGTCGTGGCACTAGGGATATTATTGACAAAGTCATCTTGACAAAGAACAGAGAGTACCAGAAGAATGTCTATTTGTGTTTCATTGACTATGCAAAGACATTTGTGTGAATCTCAATAAATTGTGACTAACCTTAAGGAAAATGGGAATCTCAGAACACTTGATCATGCTTATATGAAACCTATGCTTGGACCAAAAAGCAGTCCTCAGAACAGAGCAAGTATACACTGCATGGTTCAAAATCAGGAGAGAAGTGCATCACGGATGCATCCTGTCCCGATATCTTTTCAATCTGTATGCAGAACAGATCATCTGGGAGGCAGGGCTTTATGAAGAGTGTGGCATCAAGATTGGAGGAAGACTCATAACAACCTATGATATACAGATGACAACCTTGCTTGCTGAAACTGAAGAAGACCCAGAGCACTTGCTGCAAAAATTCAAGGACTGTAATCTTCAAGATGGATTGAAGCTCCACATTAAGAAGAAAAAGATTTTCACTTGGCCAATTGGCAGCACCATAGTAGATGGAGGAGAGATTGAGGTTGTTAGCAATTACAGCTTGCTCGGATCCACAATCAACACTCTTAACACCAGCAGTCAGGAAATCAAAAGATGAATTGCACTGGGAAAATCTGCTGTCATGGACCTTCCCAGAGTGCTGAACAGCAGTGATGTCACTTTAGATACAAAGGCTCGCCCAGTCCAGTCCATGGTCTTCTCAATTACTCGTTATGTTTCAGAGAGTTGGACAGTGACTAAGGATGACAAAAGAATAGATAGCTTCAAGTTGTGGTGCTGGAGAAGAGTCTTGAACATACCATGGACTGCCAAGAAAACAAATCAGTCTGTCTTGGAGAGGGTGAAACCAAGTCTCTCCTTGGAGGCTAAGATTTTTGAAGCTCTGCCTCACTTACTTTGGGCATATGGCCAGGAGAGATAGGTCCTTGAATAAGGACATCATGCTCGGAAGGGTGGACAGACAGCACAAAAGAGGAAGACCCCAGATGAGATGGATTAATACAGTAACTGGGGCGATGGAGGTTGGTATGTCAGCATTAGTGAGACTGGCTCAGGACAGGGAAGGGTTCAAAGCTGTTGTACAGAGGGTCACTATGCATCACAGGTGACTCAGCACATAACAACAATAACATACTGTGACAGGTTTGGAAGCAGAAATGACATCCACTTCCTAAATAACATGCCTCCGGAAACACTGTGAACTTTGATAATTGTCGATAATTGTAGAGGGGCTTCAGTCCTTTTGTTCATGGCGTTGCTATGAGTCATGCTAGACTTGAAGGCAGTCAACCACAGCAGCAGAGAGAGAGAGAGAGAGAGAGAGAGAGAGAGTGTGTGTGTGTGTATGACAATCAGTGAAGCCATGTAAGAATCACTTTCTGTGCTATTGTGAAGGATGGGAGATAAAATAATTTCTGTTTTGTTATTTAGAAACAGCAGGATCCAGAACTGGGAGAAGAGCAGATGTGAGTCCATTCCTGGCTCCCCGTTCCGCGGCTGTGCCTCTTGTCAACCCGAGTGGACTTGGAAGTGGCGGGTCGGGGCATCTTCTTTTGAAACCTATCTCAGATGTTCTGCCCACATTTACACCTTTGCCAGTATCGTCTGACAACAGCGCTGGAGTTGTACTGAAAGACCTTTTAAAGCAGTAGGTGATTCTCGAGACAGAGATGATTGAGCACTTTAAAGCAACCATGAGCACTATATGTATGTACTTTATCACAAAGTGGCCTTTTGGGAAGAGTCATGCATTTGTTTGCCATTGTACTTTCCTCTAAATTTCATAATAAATATTACTAAGACTTTTAGAAATTGCAGATGTCATAGGAGCAATTGTTTGCTATGTAATCTGCTTTTTTCTTCTATAATTTGATGTCGTATAAGCTAGAAACATCTGATTTACAAAAGAATAAATGAAAAAGACAAAAATATTAGTAGTTGTATATCAACTTTTATTTCCTTTTCTGAATTCCCAAGCTCATTTAAGTTAGAGACATTTGATTTAAAGTTCATTTTGATACACAGAAAGGAAGAAATGCTTGTAGTGACTTCTCTGCATAGTAGAGAGAGCCCTGTATTAAAATCACTTTTTCAGAATTTTGTGTAGACAGGTCAAGGACAAGGTCGTCCCTTGAGGTCATCGGTGTCCTGAGGTGGATTGTTTGTGTACTTGTTTCTACGCAGTTTCCTCACCTGTAAATTCCTGTGATGACCACCATGGTCAGGACAGAGAGTGGTTCTGAAAAGGATTGCTTGCCCCCCCTTGGTTCTCCATCTCTGTAGTGTCTCCGTTTCATGCCTCCTTAGATAAGATGTCATCAAGTATGTAATTTTTGAAATGAACTTTTTTTGCTCAACATAATTTCCTTAATACTTGTCAACACGGCCGCATGTTTAGTAGTTCCTTCTTATTTTCATGTGTATAGTTTGATGGCCTCATGGGCACGGAGACGCACTGCCAACCCAAAGGCAATTTGAACCTGCCAGCTGTTCTGTGGGAGAAGGAGGAGCAGTCTCCTCCCGTGTTAATTCACAGCCTCCAAAAACTCACTGGCAGGTCAGCTACAAGTTGGTTCAGACTCAGTGGCACTGAGTGTGAGCTTTTTTTTTTTATTGTTGTCATTTTTTTTTTAATGTGTGTACCGTCAAATTGGATCTGACTGGTACAGGAGGTGATTGATTGTTCCTCCTTCTTCAGCAGAGCATCTGGTGGAGTGTGAGCTTTTTAAATACAGCGAGACTATTATTTAGTTTTAGGAGGTATCTTTCTAAAGTTACTGTTTTAAAACTGAATGTCTCACGCACCTTGCATAGCAGTGTGACAGTGCAGCTCTGTCTCTGAAACTGGTGTCGCCATAACTGAAGTGACCCTGAAGCTTCCTGTGACCACGCCCGCTCTGCAGAGGCCCAGAACAGGCTTGGAGTGCGCCACACCAGGCGTTTGAACTTGAGTGTAAGAGGATTTCCCTCATTTCCTATAAACCCTTCATACAGGACTGACCTGGACTTTCCTGTCTGTACTAGTTGTCAAAGTAGTGTGTTTTAAAAGACATTTCTTGCAAATTTTGTCCATGTCAATCTGTGTTAGAGATAGAAACATTGGTAGAGCAAGAAAAGGTGAAAATGATACTAATCCAAATAATGTAAATAGTGACCTGGCTCCTGCCAGAAGGAGATTTGATTGTAAATTTTGCCATGATAGTTAACTGTATACCTTCTACTGTATTTGGGAGAATGGAAATCTTTATGTTGATGGATCAAACTTGTTTTTCTGAAAATTTAAGTGACTGAGCAGTGCTGCCCCTGATTGTCACCTATCTCCTTAGCGGACTCGTTTTCAGTGTCATTCTCTGTGGCCGCATGCTTTAGAGGAAGCTGTTGTACCAGTTCTATATTAGAACTGTCAGTGCCACCTCCTGGTCCATGACCTGCCAGCGAAAGTTTGCTTTGTGGCTGCTTTGTGCTCTTCCTGAAGATGCTCTCACAGCCCGAGACGGGCGCCACTTGCACTGCAGTTTCATTTCTGCGTGAAGCAGCCAAAGTGCTTGTTTTCTAGTTTGAGGGGGAAAAAGACACATGGTCTCAAATGTTCTCTCATGACACGTGAAAGAAGAGGTGCATGGTGAGGATTTAAGTAGCATGTCATCGTAGTTTAAATGACTTCAATGCTATTTGAACATTTCCTTTCCTGACCAAACCGGCCCCCATCATTTAAGTTTGGAAGCTGTTGTGGATGGATTGCATATCTAAACATTGCAGCGCATGACCCTGCCCGGCTGCAGTTTAAATAACTGTGTGACCTTGTCCTAAAGCTCTCGGGCCTCATGTTTTAGTTGTATCATCATAAAACTGTACTGATGAGGGTGCATACTAAGTGTGTGTTGATTTAAACCAGACATAACTCATGGACTTTTCTGAAACTGAGTGGTGTCAGAGATGAGCCATCTGTGCAAGGAATCTTAGTAACGCCACAGTGATAAGAGCTACAGTTCTAACGTTAACAATGCAGTGTCTGTCGCCAACAGCTCTTTTACGGCAGCACTTTGCAATGGTTTTACTGTTTACTTCTCTCTCTGTAAACTTCCTAGAATTTGCAGTTGAGCTCGGCAGTTTGTTGCCAGTTTTTTACAACATTCCTAATTGTTTTCAACCTCTATACTGGAGTAAAACATCCTTCAAGCCCTTGAATTTTATTTTTCAGGCAATGCTCTATCATGCGGTTGCTTGAGTTTTTATTCCTGTCGTCACTGATTTTAGAAAGCAAAAAAATCCCCCAAGTGAAATAATACAACTGTGGAAAAGAAAATGACTTTGTTGCATCTATCCAATTAAAACATAATGATCCCGCTTCCCAAAAGCTTCCTGTTCGTCTGTTCAGTGGGTAGCAGGAAGACAGAAGGGAGCTATCTTGCTGAGTCAGTAAGCTAAAAAACTAATAAAAACCCCCAAACCAAAAACACCTAATCCAGAACAACTGTCTTGAGGGACAGGGGTGATGGAGATGGTTTAGAAAATGCTGTTAGGTGTCAAGCAGAAAGCATTTTAATTTCATCTTTGAACCTGATGAAATTTTTATGTCAAAGTATTTACAAGGTCTTCTTCCATCAACAAAAAGTTTTATTTTGTAAATAGCAAAGTAACTATAAAGTGATATTTATTTCATATATTCCTATGGAAAAAATAAATAATGGTACTTTTAATGTTCTGACATTTGTGATCACTTGTCAGTATTTACTTTTTAACTTATTAAAGTTGATAAATTGCTTTTGGATTTTTTGGGAAATACCTGAAAGTGGGAAATTGAAGACACAAACCATGTTTGTTCGTTTGTGTTGTATAGCATGAAAGTCAATGCATTTCTGAATTTCTCAGGAGCACCGCAAGGCAAAAAGAAATTCTCCAAATAAAAATGATATATGTAAGTTGGCAATGTCTTCATCCACAATAAAAACAATTTTTTTTAGCATACAGCTACTGGCTGGCCTTTTCTTTAGAAGGAAGAGAAATGACTTGCACATGTTGTTCATAGCAGCGGTGGGTGAACTGCTGCAGCTCATATCTGAGTGCTCCCCGGGTGTCTGCCTTGAGAATGCGGTTCAAGCTTTGGAAACGTCACATGAACCGTTCCGTAGGTGCTCAGGTTGCCGTGTGGGACGAGCATCTCCGAGGCCCTGGGCCATGCTTGGTTCTCCTTCCCTGCTGGCGGCATGCGTGATGGGCCTGTGCATCTTCCTGCAGTCAGCTAGAGCTTCCTTTTTTCCTTCAATGCAGAACCTGGGTCATTCTAACGGTTCATATGGCCAAATGTGGAAAGGAGTGTGGGTTTCAGTGTTGAGAACTGGATGGAGTGCTAATTCAGAAACTTCCTGTGTGAGCTTGAGAGGGAGCGATGGTCAGAACATTGGGCTGCTGACTGAGGTCAGCGATCTGAGCCCACTGCCTCTGCCTCACAGAAAGGTGTGCATCCTGCTTGGGTAGATTTACAGCCCGGGGGATCTGTGGGAGACTCCTGCACTGTCCCCACAGGGTGGCTATGAATTAGAGTCAACTCTGTGCGAGGGTGGACAAAAGTAGGGAGATGTGACCTTGAGCAAAATTTCTTTTGACATTGAGCTTCATTTTCCTCATCTCTGAAATGTACCAACACCCACCTCATAAAATAAACGAGGCGTTACAAGGATCAGATGACCTGCATTTGTAACATAGGGACTGTGAAAGTGCTTTATAAAACAGCACATTCCTCCCTCATTGACATGGACAGCTTCCAAAGACCAGGTCAGTATGCAAAAATTGGCATCATCTGAAAATGGAGGATGACAACACCGTTACATAACTGCCAACTTAGTAATAATCACCGCCAAACTGCAGAGAATCGTAGCTCAGTCCAGCTGAACCTTAACCGTCACCGCCACCTAACCACAGAGTTCTGGCTCAGCCCAGTTGAACCTGAACCATCACCACCTCCAAACTGAAGAGAGTTTTGTCACCACCACCAAACCACAGAAAATTGTAACTCAGCCTAGTTGAACCCGAAACCATCACTGCCACCAAACTACAGAAAGTTGTATGTAGCTCAACCCAGCTGACGCTGAACCGTCACCACCACCAAACCACAGAAAATTGTAACTCAGCCTAGCTGAACCTGAAACCATCACTGCCACCAAACCACAGAAAGTTGTAGCTCAGCCCAGCTGAACCTGAAACCATCACCGCCACCAAACCACAGTCCTGGCTCAGCCCAGCTGAACCTGAACCATCACAGCCAGCATTACACTCACCTCAAACGTCAGTGTTCGTGCTACCAGACATTGTTACTCTGCAAAACGGATTTTTTACTACTGCTTTGCATTCAAAATGTCAGATAATGAGCTCTTCGCTAAGAGAGAAGCAAGTAGTGGTCTAGACAGATGTAAGAAGTGAAGTGTGGATGAGAACACGTGACGGTGGGGGATGCAGACCACAGAAGCCAAGGTTTGTTTCAAGAAGGTAACAGTCACCATTGTGTTGCCCCCAACTCATGGTGACCCTTTGTCTCAGCACTGCCGTCCTTAAGTCCGGGATGCAGAGGGCAGTGGATTTGGGTAGAAGGAAGTTGAACTTTTTTTCTGAAAGGCTTAAGGTTGACTGGTTTTTCAGAAGTAGATTTTCAGGCTTTCTGAAGTGCAGCTTGATGAAGAACTCAAAACTTCCAGTTGGCAGCGGAGCATGTTAACTGCACCAGCCAGCAACTCTCAGCAAGGTAGAGAACTGCTGGGAGGAGGATGAGGTAAGTCCTCAAAGGAGTCTCTTGGACTTACAGACCAAGTTGTTGCCGGCTTTGGCTAGTGCAGTGGTGGTGGGGTGATGGGGACTGAAGCAAGCGGTGATTGTTTATAGGCCATGTTTACTAGAACACCACCAGGTTTCAAGGGTGGACAGAGCAATGGAGGGAGGGTTGTTTGAAGCTAGGAGACTCCAACCTGTGTCCGTTCTCATGAGAAAGCCGGGGTTTAGATCAATTGAGGAAAAACGTCTTGAGAAAGAGGATTAGAGACGGAGGGATAGGCCTGAGAGGAAGGACTCCTTTCCTGGGACAGAAGGGGCAAGGGGAGAGGAGGGGCCGAAGGATGCAGACAGCGCTTGGTTTGGGCGGAAGGAAGTTGGAATTCTCTTCCATGAGGTGATGGTGATTATGTGCTGTGGAGTTGGAGCTGTCCATGCAGCAGGTCTTCAGAGGCAGTAAATGACACACGAGGAGATTGCCCGTCTTCCCACGGAGCACCTGCTGGATTGAAAATGCGTGCCTTAAACGTAATGCGTGGGAGTGATTGTAATGTACAGCGTGAATGAGGACTAGTGTGAAGCAATGTATGTGAACTTTGTGAGCAATCCAATATGGTGATGATGTTGTTGATTGCCGTTGAGTTGAGGATGACTCATAGCGCGACCCTATGGACAAAAGGCCTGAAGACTTTCTGTAACAATCATCGTTTCTCAAAGTTCATAGAGCTTCCAGAGGCATGTTGTTTAGAAAGCGGATGCCACTCCTGCTTCCAGACATCTCAATCTGGGAGCTCCTCCAAACACTGTCTTCCATGGGTAACCATATGGCATTCAATGAAAACAAACCAAAATAAAAAGAAACCATAAAGCAAGAAAGAAAGTTGTCTCAGAGGGGAAAAAGCAAACATGCCTTTGGGAGTGCAGCACAGCTTCCTACCACTAGGCCACCCGGCACACCTTGAGGTTCAAGAGGGCTTACCTGCTAAGACAGGAACGTGGCCTGAAGCTCGAGAAGTTCAATCCAGTGGAGAGACAGATGTGTGTCTGAGTGACTGGGGAAACTGAGAAATGCTGTGGGGGCGCACTCCCCACGCTGGTGACCCTGACTTGGCCCTTGATTTGTAGAGGGGGAGTGACTGATAACCAAGGCTTCAGGGAAGTAACATTTGTCCGCTCGTGAAGGAAGTAAGCTAGGAAGTAAAAGGTCAGAAGTCCCAGCACCCCTGCCCTCACCAAGCCTACTGGAAACAGAATGCTGTTGACCCGACCCTTGTTTTCCTGCTCTGGGACGCGGGTCATGTGAGTATATTACTTTCTGAGGTCTTTACAGAATATTGCTGTCATAATTTAATAGATCCCAATGTATTAACAACCTCATAACTACAACAATATTTGTTTTGGAGATAACGAAAAATTCAAGAATGTTAATAAAGGGAGCCCTTGAGGCAGACATTTGAACCCTGGGCTGGTTTTTCTGCCTTGGCTCCAAAAGTGAAGTCTTGCCCTGTGTCACTCGCTTAGCCCTTTGGAGCTTATGAAAGTAATAACTGGCACTATCAGGACTTTTCAACTGATAACTTTCAGCTGTGACTGTTTTTCCAAACATAACCTTTTCAGCTCTAACATTCTTGGACCTGAGGGAAGTTTTTCTGATTGTTAAAAAGTAAATCTTGATATTTGAAAATGCTTAACCTTGAACTTGCTGCATGCAAGAGTTTGGTGAAGTTGTTTCCTAGTTATGCTTGGACTGAACTGTTAGAGATGTGAGGTACAGAGAGCACCTCGGTTTATCAGATGTTTGTCTTGCCATACAGCATATGATGTACCATTTTGTGCACACAAAATTAAAATTTAAACACTTTCCAAGATCTTCAAACACTGTCATACACCTTTAACATAGCAATAGAATAATTGTTACTGTGAACTACTGTTGTTGTTTTTGTTATGTGCCATTGAGTCACCTGCGACCCATAGCGACTCTGTAAACTGCCCTGTCCTGAGCCAGTCTCACTGACTCCAACACACCTACCCGCATTGTCCTAGTTCCTGTGTCAGTCCACCTCATCTAGGGTCTCCCTCTCCCATGCTGTCCCGAGAATGATGTCCCTCTCCAAGGACCTGTCCCTCTTGGCCATGTGCCCAAAGTATGTGAGACATGTACTTTGAATTTCTAATAGCGTTCAAGCCTGGCTGTGTGGTAGTCTGTAGGGAATTGCACTGTTAACCTAAAGGCTGCCCTTTTCTGCTGGTTCGAACCTACCCGCAGCTCCACAAAGTGAAGATGCATAATCTCTACCCAGGAGTGGAGGGTCAGCTATGAGGGTTCTGACTTGATGGCAATGAATGAGTGCGTGAGTGAGGTTGGATGAGGTTGGTGTGTAAATACGGGCCACACATAAATCGGGTGGACACATAATCCGGGGACTGTCTGTATATTACTGTTCTATTTAAAATAAGACATTTGGATGTTGAAAGACATTCTAGTGTTAGAAGTTTTTCTCTGTGAGGGATCAGTCTGAAGCCCTCCCTTATTCCTGTAAGGGAGTGATGGGTGTCTGTTTTTTAAGGACAAGCCTTTCTCAAGGGCAAGATCACCTCAAAGGTTAAAAGAAGACATTCTTTTTAAAAAAATTCTTTTAAACATTTTAAAAATGTTTTCTTTTTTAATTTTTTTGTTTTGTGAGTGTACCATCAAATCAGATCTAACTGGTACAGGAGGAGATTGCCCCTCCTTCTCCAGCAGAGCATCTGATGGATTTGAACCACGTACCTCTGGGTGTGCAGTGCAGCTTCTTGCCACTAGGCCACCAGAGCTCTGTAAATTTTTTTATTAATTTTAATGAAAGTTTACAGAGACTGAGGATTTCTATTCATTCCTTGTTGCACTTAAGACATTATTTTTTAAAAAAAATAAAAATAAGAGCATAAATTTGCTTCAGATTTTTGATGCAAAGTCCTTCAGAATTCGAAGGTGATGGAATCCGGCCACACTGAAGGGTTCTATGGACAAAATCTTGAAGGATACAGGAAGCATTCAAAAAAAGATGGGATATATTGGGTCATTGTTCACTGAAAAGAAGTGGTTGACAGTGAACCACTTCAGTGACATTTCAGGAAGTAGTTTATGATCAAAAAAGTAATGAAAGAAGTTATTCAAATGGCACTAAAGGCATTGGGGGTGGGGGAGAAAGGCCCCAGGAATTAATGGGATACCAGTTGACATGTTTTAACAATGCAGGCCTGGACATGCTCACTAGTATATGCTAAGAAGTTTGGAAGACAGGTACCTGGCCAATGGACTGAAAGAGAGTATAATTTGTTTTTATTCCTAAAAAAAGGTGAACCAACAGAATGTGGATACTTGGGGGCTTGGAAAGCAACAGGGAGATGACAAGTCGAAATGGCTAAATTTTTTTTAATTTTAATTTTTATTTTATTTTTATTTTAATTGTGATTTTAACAAAAGTGAACAGAAGTTAGATTTTCATTCATTCATTGTTGCACATTTTACCCCTTCTCCCTCCTTTCCCCCTCTTCCAGTTCACTTTAAAGAAAAAATTACTTGTTTATTTTTGCACAGTTACACCCCCCAAGTCCTCTTTGCAGTGTACCTCTTATTCTGGACTGTTGTTATACGTATAATACCTAATTATAGATTCCTTTTAGACAGTTCTTTCCTTCATCTGTTCCAATGCAGTGTTCGTTATTTATCCCCTTTTTTCTTAGTTTCCCCTCCCATGTCCTATGTTATGCAATATTTGTCCTTTTGTGACTGAGATATTTCACTCAGCATAATGTCCTTGAGGGCCACCCACGTATAATATTTTATGAGTTCCTTGTTTTTCAATGCTGTGCAGTAAGTATTCTGTTGTGTGAATATACCGTAGTTTTTCTATCCATTCATTTGTTGATGGAGAAAATGCCTTAATTTTTAAGACAGGTGGTACTTCACATAAAGCCCATGGGTGTGGGGGGCCTTCCTGCCTGCGGTTGCCCCCTGTTTGTCCTCACCTACCCCCTAGCACTGAGCTGACCATGCCACCCACAATTTTGCTGTCCACGGAGAGAGAATCAGTGAGAGTGTGTCTGTGCGAGTGGGAGTGCAGGCAAAACCCACCTGGTGAATCACAAATAATTGGAGAAATCTCAGCCTTGCTTCTCCTGTCAGTTGGGACAAGTCTCAGCCAGCTGTAAGCCGAGATGAGGAAAGGTTCTCAGTGCCTGGCTGGTAGGAAAACGATTCAGAGCAGTGGAGTGGGACCCTGGCCTCCTGGTGGATTTCCAGCAACTTCAGAGCCTGTGGTGGGGACACATCCGGGCCAGTGGTGTGTGAGCAGCCTGTTTTGACCCCTGAGCTGTCAGGCCCAGGGATCGCTGGGAAGCTGGTCAAAAAGGTAAAAGTCATTGACACTCGCTGGCAACCCCAGCAGAACCTGGGGTGAGTGGGCGTGGGTGGGTGAGGAGGGTTTTGCCATTCATCTGCCAACATGCCAACAAAGTAAAAATAAAGAGAAAAATAAGTCAGAATCAATCATTGCTACAGCATCATGTCTAGTCCTCAACCAAAAATTAGGAGTGACGTGCAGAAGAAAGTGTGATCTCCTTTTTTTTTTCAGGAAGAACAGCCGATGGAAACCATGTGGCCTCAATGCAGAATGGCGCACAGACTTCGAAGCATTAATTATACATAAAGAGACTTGGAAGACTATTCAAGAAGACAGAATAAGATAAGGTGTGCATAGCCAATGTTATGCAGTCTCAGAATGGCCCTTCATTTTTCTGCAGAGTTGAATACTTTCTGTTAAAGAGAACTTCAGACATACACTGAGACATGAATGCAGGTACCTGCTGCTAACTTGGTTATTAGGTGCTGTTGAGTTGAGTACGACCCATAGTGACCCTGTGTTCAAAATATCTGAACCCTGTTCTATCCTGTGCCGTCCTCACACTTCCTGACAGACGAGAGCCGGTTGCGACAGTCTACTTGCTTGGAATCCTCCACCCTTCCCAGCAGCATCAAGTCCTTCTCCAAGCTAGCTTTAGCGGTTATTAACTCAGCAGTATAAAATCTTGTTTCATCTTGGACCCTACTTAAAAACAAAGAATTGCTGACGTACCTTTCCATAGCACATTTTGTAACTGGAAAGGAAGGTGCTGCTCTTTGTGTTAGAATAATGGTTGCGTAGTTGTTGCTCTTGAGTGGATTTAACCTATGGTGGCCCAGTGTGTGCAGAGTGGAACTGCTCCACAGGGTGTTGAAGCTGTGACCTTTCAGAAACAGATCTCCAGCTCCAGTTTCGGAGACACCTCTACATGGGCTTGAATTGTCCATCTTTCTGCTGGGAGTCAAGCCGCCAGAGCCTCCAGTTTATCGAGACAAATAACGTATTGCCTCTCCTGCTCCAGACCTCTTCCCAGGATGCCTTGGCTGAAATGTGACATCCCATTTGGACTCTCTTCTGATCATCTCCAGCTTCAGAGCAGTGAAGTGTGGGACACGTCTGGACCAAAACCTGGCCACTCTGTTACCATCTGTGCATGTGAGGGGGTCTTCGTACTCTGCAGCTTCTTGCCTTCATGTAGCTTCAACAGTGTCTCCTCAAAATTCATGTGTACCCAGAATCTCAGAATATGACCTTTCTTGAAAAGAAGGTCTTTGTAGACATACTTAGTTAAAATGAGGTCATACTGGATTATGCTGTTGTTTAGGTGCTGTCTAGTCATGTACAACTCACAGCTCAAAGGCATCAATTCTCTATCAATCATCCCTATTCACTGTCCAACTCTCTGATGCATAGCACGTAATTGCAAAGACTATAGCCTGGATCAGGTGCACCTTAGTCTCCAGACTAATGTCGTTGCACTTCAGTACTCTTGAGAGGTCCCTCACAGCTGACTTTCCCAATGCAGTTCATCTTCTGATTTGCTGGCTGCTGTTACCAAGAGTGTTGACTGTGGAAACCAAATGAACGAAAACTGTTAACTATCTCAATCTCTTCACCATCCGTACTGATGCTGCCAATTGGATTGGCCCGGTGGTGAGAATCTTTGTTTTCTTGATATTGAGCTTTAATCCATATTGAAGACTGCAGTCCTTGACCTTCTGCTGCAAGCGCTTCAGGTCCTCAGTTTCAGCAAGCAGGATTGTGTCATCTGCATAAGGCAGGTTGTTGACGATTTTCCCACCAATCCTGATGCCACATTCCTCCTCGTACAGCCCAGCATCTTGGATGATCTGTTCTGCGTACATATTGAAAAGGTATGGAGACAAAATACATCCCTGATGGACCCATTTCTTGATTTTGAACCATCCAGTGTCTCCCTGCTCTGTTCTGACGACTGCCTCTTTGTCCAAGTATAGGTTTCGCATTAGCACGATCAAGTGTTCTGGGATTCCCATTCTTCTCAGAGTTAGCCATAGCTTGTTGTGATCCACACAGTCAAAAGCCTTTGCATAGTCAATGAAGCACAGATAGACATTCTTCTGGTATTCTCTGCTTTCTGCCAAGATCCATCTAACATTAGCTATAATATCCGTAGTACCACAACCTCTTCTAAATCCAGCCTGCACATTTGGCAGTTCTCTGTTGACATATTGTTCCAAACGGTTTTGGATAATTTTCAGCAGAATCTTGCTTGCATGTGATATCAATGATATTGTTTGATAATTTCCACACTCTGTTGGGTCACCTTTCTTTGGAATGGGAACAAATATTGATCTCTTCCAGTCAGTTGGCCAGCTGGCTGTCCTCCAGATTTCCTGGCACAACTTAGTGAGCGCATCCAGGGCAGCGTCTGTTTGTTTAGATTTAGATGGTCTAAAAAATAAAAAAGATTTCACTTGTTGTTATGTACCATCGAGTCGCAACTCATAGCGATCCTATGTACAACAGCCCTAAATTCTGCTCTGTCCTGTGCCAATCGCACTGCCTCTGACACACCCATCCCGATTACCCCAGTCACTGAATCAATCCACCTCATAGAGGGCCTTCCCCTCCTGAGCTGTCCTGCCACCATCCCAAGCATGATGTCCCTCTCCACGGACCGGTCCCTCCTTACAACATGACCAAAGTATGTCAGACGAAGCCCCAGAACCCTTGCCTCCAGTGAGCTGCCTGGTTTAACCCTTTCCAGGATGAATCTGTTTGTTTTCCTAGCAGTCCATGGTATTCTCAATACTCTTCTCCAGCACCACAGCTCAAAGGCATCAATTCTTCTTCTATCCTTCTTAGTCATTGTCCAACTCTCTGATGTATAACAAGTGATAGCCTCTATCAGACGCACCTTAGTCTCCAGAGAGACACCATTGCTCTTCAGTACTTTGGAGAGGTCCCTAACAGCAGACTTTCCCATGGCAATACGTCTTTTAATTTCCTGGCTACTGCTGCCAAGAGTGTTGACTGTGGAGCTAAGCAAACTAAAGCTGTGAACAATCTCAATCTTTTCACCATCCATCCTGATGCTGCCAATTGGTCCAGTGGTGAGAATCTTTATCTTCTTGACATTGAGCCTCAATCCATATTGGTGGCTGCAAACCTCACTTGTGTTACAGAAAGAAAATGAGAAGATGAAGGTGGGAGGACCCAAGGAGTTCTAGAGTGTCCCTGATGACCAGGCACCGAGAGATCCAGCGGCACTGTGACCAGCGAGCAGAGACAGCAAAGACCTGGTGACCCAGGAAGGAGGAGGGCACTAGGCTCAGACCTGGTCCGGGCCAGAGTTGTGACTTGACCGTTTTCTATGGGGACCTGGGTTCGGAGTCTGTTTCTTCTTCTGAAAGCTGGGCCTGGGACATCGCGGGCTGCTGTGAAGGTCAAAGGTGAAGGTTCACGCAGGCCAAACATGACTATGGTTTTTAATTGCTGTCCAGTTCCCCACGAACAGTGCATACTGCTTGGCCCTGCACCATTCCCATGGCCAGTGAAACATCAGACCCTCGTGACCCAGAGTTGTCAGTGGCTGGTTAATGGCGGGACATGGCCGGGAAGAAACTCGGGCAGTCACCTTCCTTTGCGATTGATAGCCGTGGAGACCCAATGGAAGAGCTCTATGAGTTGGAAGCAACCCAACAGCCTGCAGTCTGAGTTTTTGAATATTCATGTGAAGGTTGGGCAGTGACTAAGGAAGGCCAAAGAAGAACTGTTGCCTTTGAATTGTACTGTCCAAGGATGTTGAACACACCGCGGAATACCAAAAGAACAGACAAGTTGGTCTGGGTAGAATTGCAGTCAGAATGCTACTTGGAGGTGAGATGGTGTGACTTTGTCTCACGTTCTCAGGAGAGGCCAGTTCCTAGAGGAAAACATTGGTCTTGGAAAAGTGGAGGGTCAGAGGGGACGAGGAAGGCTCCCAGTCGGCTGGTGATGCAATGCTTGCAGCAATAGACGGAAGCGGAGCAGAGACTGAGGATGGGGCAGTACTGAGCAGTGCTTCATTCTGTTCTGCACGGGGTCTCTATTAATCGGAGCCCTCTAGAAGGCACCTAATGACACTGACAACAACAGCATTTGTGTCTTTGTCATTCGTTTTGTTAGGTGCTGTTGACTCAGCTTGACTCTTAGTGACCTTGTGAACATGAGATCTGACCTTGCCCTCTCCTGTGCCAGCCTCCCCCTCTCCAAGCTTGAGCCCGTTGTTACAGTCACTGTGCCAATGCTTGTTGAGGGTCTTCCTCTCTTTCTCTGACCTTCTACCTTTCACAGCATTATGTTTTCTTACAAGGATTGGCCCCTTCTAACAATATGTCCAAAGTACATGAGAGGAAGTGTCACTGTCCTGGCCTCTACAGGGCACGGTGGTTGGACTTCCTTAGACACATTTGGTCATTTGGTCTTTCGGCACCACATGGAATCTCCAGTGCTCTTCACCAGCACCACGATTCAAAGGCATTCAGTCTCCCTCTCTTGTTCTTAGTCATTGTCCACTTTTCAGATGCATAGGAAGTAACTGAGAATACTGGGGCTTGGATCAGACACACCTTAGACTTTAAACTGGCACTGTTGTTCTTCAGCACTTTGGAGAGGTCTTTGACAGCGGATTTTACCATTGCAACATGTCTTTTTGATAACTGCTACTGCCATGAGTGCTGATTGTAGATTCAAGTAAAATGAAATAATGGACAATTCCAGTATTTTTTTTTCTCATCTGACATGATATTGCTATTGGCTCGTTGGTGATGATTTTTGTCTTCTTGGTATTGTAATGTAACTCATATTGAAGATCTTTGATCTTTGGTAAATGCTGCTGGTCTTAACTTTCTTCAAACCAGGTTGTGTCATCTGCATATCACAGATTGTTGATGAGTCTTCTGCCAGTCCTGCTGGTGGATTTGAAGAGCCAGAGAGGTGTGACCTCTGGGTTCCCAGTGCAACTCCCTAAATCTTATACCACCAGAGCTCCCCTGGAGTCATACAGCATTCCACTTTGGTTATGCAAGACTTCATTTTTCAGAAGTCCTTTACTTTATGTAAGGAGTACTGGTGGAGCATTATTTAAAATGCTTGTCTGCCATCCTCAGGGCTGTTGGTTCAAATTCACCAGGTGCTCCTCAATAGAATGGATGATGTGACAGTTTGCTTCCATAAAGATTTACAACCTTGGAAATTCTTTGGTGCAAATCTCGTCTGTCCGTCAGAGTCACTATGAGTTGGGATCACTGTGTAGGCAGTGGGTTTACATTTAGTTTGGGTTACTATTTATTTTGATGCCTTATTTTGTGGTTGTTGTGAAGCTGAACACTGTGACACTGATGTGCCAAATGTGATAATGGTTACCCATGACGGACAGTGTGTGGTGGAGCTTCCCGATTAAAACAAGCCTGGAAGCAGGAGTGGCATCCACTTCCAAAATGGCTTGCCTCCAGAAATCTATGAAAAGAGGTCAGGCTTTTTTTGTGTGTTTTTAATTAATTTTTAATGCAAGTTTACAGAGACTTAAGGTTTCCAGTTATTCATTGTTGTACTTTTCTCCCTGTCCACCCCCTCCCCCAATCCACTTTTCTCCTTGATGAGTAAAAAAACTCTTTCATTGCTATGCAATCCCTTCCTCCAAGTCCATGGCACTGTTCAGCCTTCACCCTGGACTCCTGTCATGACAATAATACCTAATCATATATCCCTTTTAAACAGTTCTTTCCCTCATCTGTTGCAATGCAATATACATCATTCCTCCCCTTGTTCTCTGTCTTCCCTCAATCCCAATGTCAGTCCTATTTTACAGTAGTGGCCCTATGCAATATTTGTCCTTTTGTGACTGAGATATTTCACTCAGCATAATGTCTTCTAGGGTCATCCACTTAACATAGTATTTCATAAGTTCCTTGTTTTTCAATGCTGCATAGTATTCCCTGTGTGAATATACCAAAGCTTCTCTATCCATTCATTTGTTGACGGGCACTTGGGTTGTTTCTAGCTCTTTGCTATTGTGAACAAAGCTGCAGTAAACATGGATGTGCATATATCTGCTTGGGTGGCGGTTATGGTTTCTTTAGGGTAAGGCCTTTCGTTCATAGGGTTGCTATGAATCGTCTATGACTCGATGGCACCTAACAACACCAACAACATTATAATCTTTTGCTTTCATAAGCAATGGTGCAGAAATAGCCTGGTACATGTAATGCAGTTTGAAAATTTTCATTTTACTCTTGAGTATCATGTGTTATTAAAAATGGTTTCTTATATAAAAATTTTCAAACGTATACAAAGTCAAGAGAAGGTTTAATGAACACTCAGCTTCAACAACTATCAATATTGTTCTTAAAGGTTATCAGCTCTTTTTAAAAATATACCTTATTCATACTATGTTTACTGCATTGAAGTCTATGAGGGAGAGAATAGTTTAAAAGTATTATATTTTAGGGCATTATGTTTATCATAAGAGTACGGAATGAGAGTTGCAGAGTGGAGTATATTTGGGGTGGGGGGGGTGCGGGGGGGATTGTGTACCAATGAAGGAGTTTTTCTTTTGCTTTTCAAGGAGAGGAGCGAACGGGGCGGGGGGTGGGGGGTGGGGAGAAAAGTACAACAATGAATGAATGGAATTCCGAAATCTCTGTAGATGTTCATTGAAATAAAAAATATAAATAAAAATAAAATTTAAAAATATATACCTTATTCATGCTAAAATACATGGAATAAAACATTTACGAGCTCAGCATTTTCTTTGCGAGCAGTGCTGTTCCTGACAGCTGTCGTCGCGTGTAGCCGTCATCACTCGTCATCCAAGTTTTTCTGCCACAAATAATGATACGCTCAGGCCTCCTCTGTGTCATCTATAGACGAGAGTCGTCAGCAAGGTTTCATTGAGTGAAGGAGTGGCAGTGCTAAAAGAGAATTGCTTGAAACCCCAGATATCAGCCTTGTGAAGGACTAGCCAGCAGGCGTGTGTTTTCGCCCCTCACTCTGCTTTCAGCGACTGTCCCTTTGGTTTTCCAAATCACCTTTTCCCAACTTAGAAAATTTCCCTAGGATGCCAGTGAGGAGAACAGGGGGATGGATGAGGGGAGCAGAGTGAGGTTGGGGGGGAGAGGGCAGAGTGTCCGGACTAAGGTTGCCTTGTACATGCAGATGTCTTGAATTAGCGTCCATTGGGGGCCACCCTCCACCTCTTCCTCACCCCCTCACACACCACACCCTTCTTCTGGAAGCCCGTGAGTTTCCGATCAATTTACCCCAAACTCTGCTTAAAATGGTTCTGGTTTCCCAATAAGTCACAAGTTTCTGGTCCCCTGAGCTGGATTTGTCACCAAGTCAAGTTCCTCTCCCAGAAGCTAAGCATGTCCCTGAGCGTGGGCTGGGTGGCTACCGTGCCCATCTGAGCCATGTGGGCCCTCTGAGCCCCCCAGCCCTAGGGTGTCCTCCCTGGATGGGTAACTAAAGGGTCAATGGGCCCTCTGGCCTCCCTGCACCCCACCCTCCGGCCCTTATGGCCAATCGCCTCCACCAGGATGCTCAGAGGCAGGCTTCCCCTCCCAGCGCTCCTCGGCACTCGGTCCTGGCAGGCGCCCCAAGATTGTTGTGAGGAGTCTAGCCAGTTGGTGAGCGCTGTAATCTGAACCAGCTGTGTCCAGACCGAGGCCCCATTTGCATTGTTTAACATACTTAGAAAATGAAGTGTTCATTTTTAACATTCCTCTTCCAATTGGTTTAATGCTGAATTACTGAAGAGGGCTAAGCGAAACCAGGTGCCGCCTCCGTCTGCGCCGCGCGCCTGTGGATCGGCTCCGAGGACCCGGGCTCTCCCCGCGTCCTGCCCCACCACTCGCCAGCCCCCCTCGGGACTGCAGCCCTCGGCCAGGCCAGAGGGCCCGGAAGGAGGCTCAAGTTCAGGAAACTTCCCGGCTCAGCAGGGCAGCCAGCCTGCACCTCTGCGCCTCGCCTGTCCTGCGCGCACTCCGAGAACATGCCAGGAATCCAGAGGTGGGTGCCGGGCTCCGGGGGCTGGAAACGGACCCAAAGTCATGGGTGCAAAAGTGGCGGTGGCTGTGGTTCAGGCGGTGTCAGGATATTGGAAAAGGCATGAGCCAGTGATGCAATGACATTGTAATTATAAAAAGCTGCCTCTCGCTTTCCATCTGAAAGCCCTTCTTTGGGGAGTAGGCGTTCCACAGTGGAGCTCCGGGGCGCAGATGCCGCGCTGCGCAAACCCGAGCCTTCTTCCTGCTCTTCCCTCCGGCAGCAGGACTGCGGGCTCCTGTGCTGGTGGGACTCTCCTTAACACGATTCTGAGTCCACACTTTAAACGGGACACACCGATGGTTAATCGGCTGCCACTTGCGCTGACGCGTCTGCTGGCGGAGGAGCGACCACGCTAGCTGGCGGCTCAGCTGTCGCGCTCATCCTATGAGGGTGTGTGGGATCCGCACAGGACATGGGACCCAGAATCTTCAAGCCGATGGCCAGTGGGAACCGCAGACAGAACTACATGTAAGCCAGCGCTTTGCTTTGCTTCCTGCAATTCGCAAACTCAGCCACGAAATCCTTAAAGCTCTCAGGGCGCTTTAGCTGGATGACATCTGCATAATCTATTCACAGGACTCTCTTTTACTTTGGTTTAAGGGAAAATTCACAGAGCAAGTTCATTTTTCATCCCACCATTGAGCCACACTTGGTTCTAGAATGTTCATTTCCGTTTGCCCCGCTTCCTCCCTGCAAGTCTGATGTCCATAAGTCCTGTCCTCCCTACTTTCCTCTGGTGATCTGTGCGCTCTTCTGCTTATTGGATATTGGCTTTCCTTTCACCCATCTTAATGTGTCTGTTATCTATATACTGATTTTCTCACTCCCCTTTCCCTCTCTTCCCAGCCCTGGTAACCAGCCAAGAATGCCCTACCTGTGTGTGGACCTTTCTTTTCCTTTGCTTAATAGTGATCTTATACAGCCCCCATGGGACTCTTGCAAGCCCAGCTGCCTTCTACAAATCAACTCTCTCTCTCTCTCTCCCCACCCCCCCATGTGTATGTGTGTATACACCACAGAGCTGTTAGAATGTCACCCTGGTCTGTGGCAGACTGTGGCTGAGTCTCAGTTGGTATCTCCAGCTTTCCTCTCCCTAGTTTAGGATAGTTCATGGAGTTATGAGCATCAGAAAAACAACATCTACAACTTCAGACCTGCTGTCATCAGGTCGTTCGTTTCCATTTCAAAGCAAACCTACGAGACAGAGTAGAAACACTTCACGGTCTCCAAGGATGTAATCTTCACAGAAGCAGACTGATGGCTAAGAAACACACGGTTCCTATGGTTAGGAGTTTTTTCTTGACAGTTTGGAGCTCTCTGGAAGGCTGCGAGGACAGCAGTGCTTGGGGCTTCCTGCCGGTCAGGAAAGCCCTCTCTGTAGCCCGGGGCGTGTCTGGCCCCCAGATTCCACTGTGCCTCTTCCTGCAGGCTGAGCTGGACATGGTCCCTTTTCAGTGGAGACCCGTCCAGGGCTGCCCTGGCTCCAAGGAGCGGAGGAGCGAGGGCAGGGGGAGAAGGAAGCAAGCACGTCTTTCCCACTAGGGCTCAAAGTCCCCTGGATTCACCAGCCTGCTCTGTCTCCAACATAAACGAGACAGGGTTTTATAACCCCCAGAAAGAAACCTTCATGCGAAGAAACAGGAAAACATTGAAATTCATAATATACAGGCTGGAAAAGAAATTTGTTATTGTTCTTTCATTCCTTCCAGATACAAATCTGGCTGTCGCAAATATAAAAAGGCCCCAGGACTCGGCTGTGCCCCGTGTAAGGTCAGGGCTGCCCCCAGCAGTACAGGACCTGGCTCCCACAGGCGCTCAGACCGAGGGACCGCTGGTGGCCTTCCAGGGGCTTTATCCTTTGCTCGGTGGAGAGGAGGGGGCAGTGGGCTGTGCTTGGCCTGGCACCATTCCGTGTTCAGTTTCTGGTGGGTATGGAGTGGAAAGGCCTTTCCTTGCTGGGGCATTCCAAGTACCTACCATTTACTGAGTCCCATCAGCCAAATGGATGTGATGTGCTTTGCCGTCTGTGTGGCACTCTTTAAAAGGAGGGATTATAAAGTGGAGGAGGATGTTGGCAGCAAATGCAATTACTAGTTTAGCTGCCTTGCAGTATTTATGCCCACAAGTTCATTGCCCTATTGAAGAATTCTTCAAGATCACTTCCTCCAGGAAGCCTTCTTTGACTTCCTTATTCCTTCCTCCAGCCTCATGGCGCCTAATGAATATTTTTGTCACTGCTCTTTCGAGAGTGCATTGACATTGATCAGGTGGCTCCCTAGCCAGCCTTGAGGGTAGTGATCGAACTTTCTCTCTCCCTCATCTCTTTTTCATGCTTTGAGTGAAAGGTTACAGAACAAATTGGTTTTTCATGCACTCATTCATAGCTAATGGCATTCTTTGTCATCTCCACATTGTAGACATAAATCTAGTCTACAATGAGTAATGATGTCAGTTTGAGGACTAAGGTACGCCTGCTCGAGTCCATGGTCTTTTCAGTCCCTTGCTATGCTATGCTGGATTGTGATTAAGGATGACAGAAGAAGAATTGAAGCCTTTGAACTGTGGCATTGTAGGATAATGCTGGATATCTCATGAACTTCCAAAAGAACAAACAGATATGCCTTGGAGCAGACGCAGCCTCCTTGGAGGCAAGGATGATAAGGCTTCGCCTCACACACCTTGGAAATGTTGTTAGGAGAGGCTGTTCCTTGGAGAGGGTCCTCAGGCTTGGGAAGGAGGAGGGATGGTGAAGGAGGGGCAAGACCCTCAACCAGGTGGCTTGACACAGTGACTGCAGCAGTGGGCTTAAGTGTGTGACAGATTATGAGACGGCACAGGATGGGGCAGGATTCAGACGAGTTGTTCATAGGGTCGCTACGAGTCGTACTTTTCTCCGGAGCACCTAGCAACAGCCACAACCACAGCACAGCAGGACTCTCTCCACTGCCTCCCTGTGATTCACGTTTAGTGACTGGGTCTTTTTCTCCTTTTCATTTTTTTAATTAATTTTAATAAACATTTACAGAAATTTTGGATTTCCATTCATTCATTGCCGCACTTTTCTCCCTGCCCACCCCTCCCCACCAGTTCGCTCCCCTCTCCGAAAAGAAAAAGGGAAAAAAAAATTTCTTCATTGGTATACAATTCCCCCATCCCATCTCCCCACCCCCACCCCAAGTACACTTCTCTGTGTAACCTTAATTCTGGATTCCTGTGCTAACCATAATACTCAATCATATATCGCCTCTAATCTGTTCTTTCCCTCAGCTGTTTCAATACAGTATACATAATTTATCCAGTTTTTTCTCAGTCTTACCCCAACCTTGATGTCATCAGACCCATTCTACAACAGTGGTACCATGCAGTATTTGTCCCTTTGTAACTGAGATATTTCACTCAGCATAATGTCCTCCAGGGAGTGACTGGGTCTTAATACCATAGTTCTCTCCTCCCCCCCTTTTAACATTAAAAAAATGGTGATTTTAGTAAAAATTTACAGAAAGGATGGGTTTTCATTCATTCATTGATAGACCTTTACCTCCCTTCCCCTCCCGCATGTGACGCATGTGTTGTTGCGGATTGTTCAAACAGGTCTTCCCAACTCCAGTCCCAGTGCCAAGTTCATCATCTGGCTGTTCTTTCCTGACTCTCCCCTCCCCCATGTCCATCCATTTTATAACAGGGTCCTAGGCAGTATATGTCCTCTTATGACTGAGATATTTCACTCAGCAGAATGTCTTCTAGACTCATCTTTGTTGTTTAGTGTTCTAAAAGTTCATTGTTTTTCAGTGCCGCGTAGTGTTCTATTGTGTAGATCTCCCACAGTTTTTCTGTGCCTTCGTTTGTGGACGGGCACTTGATCTGCTTCCATCTCTTCATTATTGTGAATAACACAGCAGTAAACATGCGTGTGCTTACATCTGGCAGTCACTGCTCCGGTTTCTATAGTCCCAATAGTGGGATAGCTGGATCAAATGGTATTTCTATTTTCAACTTTTTAAGAAAGCGCCAGACTGCCTTCCATAGCAGTTGTACCATTTTACATTCCCACTGTTGTTTGTTGTCGTTAAGTGCCATCGAGTCGTAGGCAACTCATAGCGACCCTATGAATGGAAGTCCTTGACACCTGCGTGACTTTCATCCTTTCTCCAGGTTCATAGAGTTTCCGGAGACAAGCTATTACAGAAGTGGATGCCACTCCTGCTTCCAAGCTTGTTTTAATTGGGGAGCGCCACCAAACACTGTCCACCGTCGGTCACCATTATCGCATTTGACACATCAGTGTCACAGTGTTCAGCTTCACAGCAACCACAAGTTACCTCTGTACGGCAAGTGAACAAACCAGGGTTATATGACCTAGAAGAATGTTTGAACAAAAACAATGAAGAACAGGCCTGCGGGCTGCGGATTAGAGTCACCCACCTTTGGCTAGCAGCAGTAAATGAGAGTTCCAAACTTTCGATAACCTCGCCAATATTTGTTGTTTGCTGCCCTGTTGAATTTTGCTGTTGTTGCTGAGGTGAAATTATATATTATTGTTCTAATTTGCATATCTCTGATAGCTAGAGATTTTGAACATTTCTTCATGTGCTTGTTGGCCATCTGGATTGAATAAAGCAATTTCCACCTTTGTCTGGGATGGAAAGAATAAGGAAAGCACTACTAAAAAAGAAAACCAAGTGTGAGGTATTATACTCCCTGATTTCCAATCCCATTACACAGGCATAGTAATAAGGACAGCATGGTGCTGGTACAGCGACAGACATAGAGAGAGATCAAAGGAATAGAATTGAGAACCTAGAAATCCAAGTATCTACCTATAGTCAACAAAGAGACCAAATCAGGTAAGTGAAGAAACGACAGCCTCATTAACAAATGGTGTTGGCAAAATTGGAAAATTATCTTCAGAAAACTGAAGCAAGACCCACACCTCACACCATATACAAAATCCAACTCAAGGTGGATCAGGGAACTCTGAATAAAACCAAAGATGATAAAGTTCATCAGAGGAAAACTAGGAACAAATTTAGAAGCCCTAATCTACAACATGAGTAGACATCCAAGAGTCATGAAAAGCCCCACATCCAGGAGAAGATAAAACAGATGAATGGGGCCTTTTAACAATCCTATTTCTATGCGCATCAATAGTTCCTCCAACAGGGTACAGATGAAGCCCACAGATGGGGGAAACATTTGGCCATGATGTATATCTTCTAAGGATTCACACCTAAATGTTATAGAATATTCTGGAAATGTTATAGAATATTCTGGCACCTTGACAAGAAAAAAGGCAAACAACCCACTCACAAAATGGGCTCAAGAGGTGAATGCACCCTTACAATCCTAGCTCACATGTTCAGCCTTCACGCCTGCTATTCACCAGATACATCACAGATAATGCTTTACATTTGCATAGGTTTTGTCTTTTTGAAGCATTTTTGTGACCATGATTTTATTAGATCAGCTTTCTAAGAGATGAAGGGGAAGCTCGGGCACAGAGTGGTCTGGTGGATGGCAGAGCCGGCCTGATCTGGAGTTTCTCAATTCCTCATCCTTCTCAATATGGTTCTCCCCTCAGCTGTCCAGATTCCCGGGCCTCTGTCCCCATCAGGAGCAGCTGGGCAGCAGGTCCCGAGGCTGTGTGAGAGGGCCCGTGGAGGGTGGGCAGCCTGAGTTTACCAGTTCTGAGGGGCTGGGGGGGGGCTGGTTAGCATTTGTGGGCTGGGAGCTTCAAGACTGGGGAGCAGGTTCTGGTTAAGTGACATCCTGCTGCCCATTCTGTGGAGCTCAGCTCGGCTGGGGTCACTGGTAGCTCTCTGATTGTTCGTCACAGTTTAATGGTTCAGTAGGGTCATTCACCATGCCAGGATTTACTCTCCCCCACTTCTGTTTGTCTTTATTGTTCAAAATGTTTTATGGTTTGCATACATTCATATACACTGTGTTTTGTACAGTATTGTTGTTGTTGTTGTGTCCCATAGAGTTGGGACCAACCCATAGCTGACCATCAAGTGGATTTTCAGAGGCAGTTAATCACATGGGAGGAGATTGCCTCTCCTTCTCCCACGGAGCAGCTGGCATCGAACCGCGTGCCTTTAGGATTGCAGCACAGCTTCTTGCCATTAGGCCACCAGAAGCATTGTGCTGCACACATATACTTTGTGTTTTATACAATCATTCACATAGGCTGTTACCTTGGGTTTTATACAATAGTTCACATACATTATGTTTTATGTCATTAATTACCATTCCTCCTGTCTTTTCAAGTCCTCACTGAACTCTCCCCATTCCTTCACCCTTCTCTCCACGCCAGCCTCTGCTATCCTCTCAATTTCTGCACCTCCTCCCCTCCATCCCCTTCACTTTTGAACATTTACACCTATCTTGCTCCATTAGCCTCCTGTTTTCACAATAATGATCTTATGTAGTATTTGCCCTTTTGTGACTGAGTTATCTCACTCTGCTTAATGCTCATTAGACTCTCATGTTACGTAGTATTTCACAAACTGTTGTTTCTGAGTGCTGCATAATATTTCATTGTGTGATGTTTTTAATGAAGACATTAGCATCTTGCCTAAGGAATAAAGACAAAGGCACCAGGGTGACTGATAGTAACCTCACGTGCCAGGGTAGACCGCTCTGTGCTCCAATGGGCTTCCTGAACTTTTGGAAGCAAATCACCAGGCATTTCTTCTGAGGCATCTGAAGGTGGATTTGAACTTCCAACCAGCTCTTCAGTTAGTCGCTGAGTGTGTTAAACATATATATGCTACCTTAAGAAAAAAACAACCGCTGCACTGCAATCCTGAAGGCGAGTGGTTCAAATCCATCAGACGCTCTGCTGGAGAAAGAGGGGCAATCTCCTCCTGTGCCAGTCGGATCCAATTTGATGGTACACAATAAGAAAAGAAAAATAGGGAGCTCTGGCAGCCTAGTGGCAAGAAGCTGCACTGCAATCCCAGAGGCACATGGCTCAAATCCACCAGGTGCTCTGCTGAAGAAGGAGGGACAATCTCCTGTACCAGTCAGATCCGATTTGATGGTACATACACAAAATAATAAAATAAAAGTTAATAAATTAAAAAATTCCGTTTAAAAAAAGAAAAATATTTTTTAAAAGAAAAAACAAAAAAAACAACAACACACAAACCCTAAAACTAAACCCATTACCAATGACTCAATTCCAACTAAAGTGACTCTGTTGGGTACAAATAGAACTGCCCTATAGGGTCTTGAGGAATTATCTTATTTGGCAATTCATCTTATTTGACTCTATAATCAATCCCCTTGGTACCCGCAGTCAGGAGATCAGGAGACATATTGTACTGGGGAAGTCTGCACTCAGGGACTGCACCAAATGACTGAGGAGCAATGTTAGGTGACTAGGGTGTGCTTGATTCAGGCCGTGGCCTTTTCAATCAGTTGCTATACTGCTGGGAGCTGGAAAATGAATAAAGACGCCAGGCGAAAAATTGATGTCTTTGAACTTTGATGCTGGAGAAGAGTACGGAATATCCCACCTACCGAAGAACAAACGTGTGTCCTTTAGACGGTGCAGCCAGGGTGCTCCCTGGAGGCGACGCTGGAGAAGCTCCGTCTCACATACCTTGGGCTGTCTCCTAGGAGAGGCTGTTCCTTGGAGAGGGGCATTATGCTTGGAAAGGTGGAGGGATGGTGAAGAAGAGGAAGCCCCCAGTCAGGTGGATTGACACAGCGACTGCAGCAACGGGTCAGAGATTGTGATGTTGGCGCAAGATAGGACAGGATTCAGATCTTTTGTTCATAGGGTTGCTGTAAGATGTACTTGACGACACCTAACAACAGCCTAGGTTCCCAAGCTGGTGATTTACATGGAAGCAGGTAGACACATTTTTCTCCCACAGACGGTCTGGGGGTGAGGGGGCGGGGGTTTCTAACTGCCGACTTCTCAAGTGCTTAACTATTGCACCTTTACGGTTTCTATATGCATCACCTGGGAACCCGGAAGCACTTGCTGTTTAGCCCACCTCATGGTGTACAGAGCAACTGGTAAATGCATTCTTAATACCATGACGGTGCTTTTCAGACTCTATCTTTGCTCTTCTATGAAACAAGTAGGAGAGCTGCCGTTCTCTCGGGCTGTCTGAAGCCTCCCTCTTCAGGGACGAGCACATGGAAGGGCAGCCTTTTCAGATGCCCGAGTGGTGGGAGGCCACACCAGCCCTGGAGCCTTCTCAGCTGTTGACATTTGACGTCTCCCCCATTGCAGGATACTCACCGCCACCGTCCTGGCTCTCTGTCTTCTGAGTCCTGGAGATGCACAGGTAAGCTGCTTTTTCCTTGCAGTGATGCGGAACCAAGAACCATGGAGAAGGCGTCCCAGCGTGTGATTTAGAATGAGTCACAGGAAGGCCAGTTAAGGACACTGACACCCAAGAGCATTTGCCTCATTCAGTAAATCAAGACACTTTGAGGAACACAAAAGAAACAGCACGGTCTGATTAAATATGTTCTGGGTTAGGAGTCAGAAGTTCAAGTCCCAGCCCTGACCTGGAAGCAAAAGACTCACCTTCAATCTAATCTCCGTAAAAAATAACAGAAACCCAAAGGCTAACCCTAACCCAAATCCTAACCTTAACTCTAACCTTAAACCCAAAGGCTAACCCACCCTAACCCAAATCCTAACCCTACCCCTAACCCCATCTCCACAGCCCTCCTCGCTTGTCATTGTCCTGGGACCCTTGAAATCTCTCCCCCTCCCTTCAGCCTCTTAAAGTCCCCTGGAGGGACAGCCATCAGTTGGTCCTGACAGGAAGCCAATGAGTTGAGTTTCCATTCCTAAAAATGACAGTCTCTAAGGTCTTCGCTGAAGGGGCTACTTGTCAATCTCAAGATGGTTTGTTCAAAAGTACGCCAAACTGTAGCTCAGGTTATAGTCTGCACACCACCTTGGGCTTGTTGGGACTCCTCTAATACCGGAAGCCTAATTTTCTTTAAAAACCCAAACCCAAGCCCATTGCCGTGGGTCTCGCTGCTGGCACCCCTATAGGACAGGGTGGCTTTGCCCACGGGGGCCTCAGGGCTGTCCAGCTTCACAGCAGACCCTTTTCATTCTCTGGTGGAGCAACTGGGGGTCCAAGTCACTCATCGTTAGGTGAGCTGTCCAGTGCTCACCCACTGCACCACCAGGGCTGCCTAACTACACTGCTGACGTTGAAGTCAAGGTATTTCCCAAATTTTCCTTTTCACTGAAAACTGACTGCAGCTGCTGGGAGACTTTTTTTTTTTTTAAATAGCCCTGGAGTCAGGTGGAGGGCTTTATAGAGGAAAGAGCTTAGAGTGGATTCTGAGAAGATGAAATAAAACGTCATTCAGAGTGAGCCATTCCCCAAAAGCGACAGCCTTTACCCCTTCCCGAGGAAGAGGGGCTGAGCATACGTGTAGACACATCTGGTAGACCAGACACGGTTACCACTGCTCTCATTACCAGAGAGTTCAAACCCCCAACGAACATCTGCTAAAAATAAAGTTCATTTTACGATGGCGTAGTGGAAGGGGTGGGGAGCTTAAGAAGTAATGCAAAAGTGAGAAAGAATGAGATATGTGTGTGTAGAGAAATAAACAGGTGGTTGATGATAGGCCTTAAACACTTTGATTGTGGTAAAATATATTTAACATAAAATTTACTCTTTTCAAGGGTACAAATCAATGACAGTGACTACCTTCATAATGTTGTGAAACTGTCACGGCAATTTCCAGGACATTTATCACCCTGAAGTTAAACTCAGAACTCATTAAACAAGAACTTCTTGCTCTTCTCCCTATGCAGCCCCTGGTAGCCATTAACCTGATTTTATCTCTATACATTTCCCCTTTCTGTGTAGTTTACCTAAGTAGGATCATTTGGTATTTATCTCTTTGTGCCTGACATATGTCACTTGGAATAATGTTTTCAAGGTTAATAACCTATGCCACAAGATGTGCCCAGACATGATTCTTTTTTTTCTTCATAAAATTCCAAACCCATTTATTTAGTTTCTTCAGGTTCTGTTGTGATATCACCTCTATCTTTTCTTTCTTTTTTAAATTTTAATGCAAGTTTATAGACATGATTCTTTTTATAATAATATCCTGAATAATACTCTATTGTGTCGCTAGAGCTATTGTGAGAAGAGCTGTGAAGAGCTCTGGGGAGAGTGTTAAGAGGGAAATGTAAGTACAATGACACTGCTCTCTCTTCTCTCTTGTCTGCAGCAACAGTGCACTAACGGTTTTGACCTGGATCGAACGTTAGGACAGTGCTTAGGTAAGTAAGGTCGTCGTCGCACGTCCATCCCTGGGGCAGGGGCTTCAGGGACAGCCAAAGCCCAGAGCCACTTCTTAGTTAGAATTCACTGTTGTCAAATCTGTTAGTCTCTCCCGTGGAAGAGAACAGAGCTGCGGAACAATGGAAGTCAATGGCACTTTTAAGAAAATTATTTATTTTAATGAACATTCACAGAGATTTTGGATTTTCATTCATTCATTCATTCATTCATTCATTCATTCATTGTTGCATTTTTCTCCCTGCCCTCCCCCCCACCCCAACTGCAGTTTGCTCTTCTCTTTGAAAAGTAAAAAAAAATTCCTTCATCTGTATACAATTCCCCCATGTCCACCCAAGTACACTCCACTATGCAACCTTCATTCTGGACTCTTGTCATAATCATAATACCCAATCATATATCGCTTTTTTTGGATCACCTTCGGGTGACCACCTTCTGGTGCTGGTGCCGGACTAAGCGCTGGGAGGGACCCTATGAGTAAGAATTGGTCTTAAACCTCATCCACTTCCCAACTGTATTAGTTTCCTATTGTTGCCACAACAAATTGCTCCAAACTTGGTGGGGTTCTAAGATCACAGATTTCTCCCAGTTTTAGTACCCCAGAAGTGCACCATGGGGCTCCGTGGGCTCTCATGAAGGTGTAAGGAGACTTGCTCCCTTTTCTGGATATTCTTGGGAGAATCCATTTCTTTGCTCATGTAGATTGTTTAATTTCTTGTGGTTTTAGGATCAAAATCCTTGACTTCTTGTAGCAGTCCACTGAGGGCTGTTCCCAGCTTCTAGCGCCCCCCTCCCACCCTCGCCCCATACACCTAGACTCTTAGCTTCCACTTCCTCTTTCCTCAGAGTTTGCAAGGGTAAGTAAAGGCCTTGTGCTTCAGATCTCTCCTCTAGTTCCCGCTCATCATCTTTTCTGACTCTTCTTCTATTTCTAAGGACTTGCATGATTGGCCCATTCAGCTAATCCAGGATAACCTCTCCTTTCATATCAGAGGTAACCTGTGGTTGCTGTGAAGCTGAATCCTGTGACTGATGTATCAAAGGCAATAACGGTTACCCATGGTGGACAGTGTTTGGTGGCACTCCCCGATTAAAACAAGCTAGGAAGCAGGAGTGGCATCCACTTCTGTATTAACTTGCCTCCAGAAACCCTATGAACCTGGAGAAAGGACAAAAGTTATACAGAAGGTGTCCAGGCCTTTTGTTCATAGGGTCACTATGAGTCACTTCCAATTTGAAGACACTAAACAACAACAATAACATGTGCCATCAAGTCATCTGTGACTCTGAAGCCTGCCCTGTCCTGAGCCAGTTTCACTGACTCCAACACACCAACCCTCATTGCCCCAGTTACTGTATCAATCCATCTCATCTGAGGTCTTCCTCTCCTGCACTGTCCCTCCACCCTTTCGAGCATGACGTCCTTCTCCAAGGACTGCTCCCTCCTGGCCACGGGCCCAAAGTATGTGAGACGGAGCTTCACAATCCTAGCCTTCAAGGGGAAGCTTGGTTTCATCCTCTGCAAGACAAACCTATTTGTTTTCTTGGCAGTCCATGGTATGCTCAAGACTCTTCTCCAGCACCACGACTCAAAAGCATTGATTCTTCTTCTGTCATCCTTAGTCACTGTCCAGCTCTCTGATGCATAACAAGTAATTGCAAAGACTGTGGCTCAAGTTAGCTTATGAAATGGTTACTAGGAGGAGATTGCCCATATTTCTCCGCGGAGATGTTTGGCCTTGGGTTAGCAGAGTGACTCTGTATGGGCTCGGCCACCTGACTGACCATCCTTCCCTTCACAAGGCTGATTTTGCAGACAGCTCATCTCTCCCCTGGAGGCATAACAAGCTGACTAGAAATGCACCCTGTTTGCTGGCACGGGGTGAGCAGACTTTAAAGACAGACAGACTGTTTTCTGAGCAAGTAATAGTGCTCACCCTAACTTTGTCTTTCTTTTTTTCCTTTCACTTACCTATTTTGTTATTGTTGAGAATGTTACTGCTAGGTGCCATTGAGTCGATGATGACTTATTATGACATTATGGACAACAGACCGGGACCCTGCCCTGACCTGTGCCATCATCACTGTCTATGACACCCTTGAGCCCCTTGCTGCAGACCCTGTGTTAGTCCATCTCAGTGAGGGTCTTCCTTTCTTTTCCTGAACCTCCACCTTTCCAAGCAGGATGTCCCACTCCAAGGAATAACCTCTCCTAACAACATGCCCAAAGATTATGAGACGAAGCTTCCTCCTCTTTGCCTTCAAGGAGCACTCTGGCTGCACCTTCTCCATAGTGTATCTGTTCTCTTCACCGTCCAAAGGATGTTGCCTACTCTTCTCCACCACCACAGCTCAAAGTCATCAGTTCTTCTTCTGTCATCCTTACCGTTCAGCTCTCAGCAGCATGACAAGCGATTGAGAAGCCTGGGACTTAAATAAGTATTATTCATATTAATAACTGTATGTTGAATTTTACCATGACCTCTGTGCATTAGGACTGATAAAGGCTCTTGTTTGCTATGATCATAAAAGACTTAAGGATAAATAGAATTTCTTGGGTTTCAAAAGAAATTGGTTTTAAGAGAGCTCTGGCAGCCTATTGGCAAGAAGCTGTGCTGTAATCACGAAGGCTTGTGGTTTGAAGAATCCACCAGATGCTCTGCTGGAGAAGGAGGGGCAATCTCCTCCTGTGCCAGTTGGATCGATTCGACGGTACACAG